GCCGCCTTTTGGCCAGGGTGAGGAGGGGACTTTATCACCAGGGCAATGGGGAACTATGGATGACTGTGAAGAGGGAAGTGTCATCTCAACACTAGAAAGAATCTTTCTAGGGCTTGAGGATACTGCTGAGTCAGTGGAAGCAGAAACGCTAGTGCGTTTATGCAAGTACGTGTGTGTGTGTCTGTGTGTATGTCTGTGTGTGTATGTCTGTGTCTGTAGTGACCTAGAGAGAAACACTGGAATTGGGTTCAAAATGGGCAGGAGGATGAAGGTATTGGGAATGTGGTGACAATCTGGAGAGCCAGTGCGAGTGTTTAAAGGAAGATGAGTCCATCAGGTGCTGGACCATTCTGGTGAAGATTAGGATGCCTCTGTCCTTGGAGCCAGATGGGATTGGGACTGGGGAAGCTGGGCCAGGGGATGGTTAATGAAAGGGATACTGTCTAGGGGCTTCTCAGGAGAGGGCAGCTGGAGATGACTTGGGTGTTCAGGGTGGTAACAGTGGCCTGATAGCCAGTGGTTGCTTGTGGTTCAGGGGAGAGATTTCAGAGAGTTTTTTAATGTTCCTGCCAAGCAGCCAGTTTCAGATGCCTGGGCAAGGGGCATCCCTGCAGGAGGTCCCTGAAAAGAATGCTCCAAGATGCTGAGGTTGGCAGTTTGGGGATGAGAGTTCTCAGGTTGCCTTCTAATTTCCTTGGGGGGTGGTGAGAGGACAGGCCCCACAGAAAGATGGTTGAGAGGTCACAGGTCTTAAAGGTCTCCTGAACATATTGGAAAATAACACCCGCCACCCACCCCCTAGTCCTAGAGGCTGCGTGGATGGCTCAAGGTCACAACTCCTGTACTGATCCTGGTTTTCCAGTAGGGTGCTGGCCTTTGAGGGTCCATAGCCCACTCTGCCTGGTCCAGCTGCTCCCAGGACCTTGCTTCTTACCCTGAAAACTGCCTGGCATCCTGCTGAGCTTGGTAGCCCTGCTTAGCTGCATGCTTCCAGGGGATGAGGAAGAGGGTCTTGCCTGCGTCCTCCCAGCACAACCCTTCATAGCGTCCACTTTCGATCTGTGCCACCAACCAGTCCCGGAGACGCAGGGGACCCCCGGTTCCAGTCATAGATTCCCTACAGACAGGGTCTTCCCTAGGTGAAGCGCTGGGGGTAGTGCGCTGGATCCATGCGGTGCACGACAGGGGATTATCAGGCCACCTGAATGGAGCGCAGAGGCGACGAAAACTATGTCTTCGCTTTCCTTTTAGTCCCTTCCCCGAGGCCCTTTCTTCTCTCCCCTCTCAGCGGCAGAGTGCGTTGGACCAAATCGGGATGACTCCCGCCCCCACCAACCAAGCGAGCTGCCTCGATCCCTGCATCTGTCCTCTGTTACTCCTAGCCCATCTGGAAACTTGAACCCTTTCTGTGTTTTGTTTTTCTGAGACAGTGTCTTGCTATGTTATCCACTCTAGCCTCCAATTCCTGGACTCCAGCAGCCTCCAGCCTAGTACCCACACAGAGTGAGGACCACAGGAGCACCACTGCCAGTTTTTTTTCAGGGCCTGGACTCTGGAAGTTAGGAAGGTGAATTGCTACTCCAGACTACACCTGTCCCCACTGGGAGGCTGTGACTGACCTCAAAGGCATGCAGGTGACCTCTGTGCCACCACCCTGGAGAAGCCCAGGAACCAGTATGCTACAGAGCTCCCTACTCTCATCCCCATACTGGCAGTCCCTGGACTGCACTCGTCTCTTACATTTAGGAAGTCCCCACTTATTGAAACTGCTCATTCTGGTGTTGGCCTGGCTATACCCTTCCCTGCAGGGTCTTAGAGCCTTTAGTTTCTTATAATAATGTTGGGCAGCTCTGTGATACTACCAGGGACAGCAAGGATCCAAAGCTGTGCATCTGCCCCACAGAGACTTGAAGCTTAAACAGTGGCCCTCACAGCCTCCTGAGAGGTACACCTGGAATTTATGATTTCCTGGGATGGTTATGATCTTCTGAAATTGTTCACATCTATGATTTTTTTTGGAGGGGTGTATCCTTTTGAAGGGGGAAGGCTGAGACAAAGTCTTACTATTTAGCCCAATTGGCCTTAACCCAAAATTCTCCTGCCTTAGCTTCCTGAGTGCTAGATTGCAGTATACACCTCCATGCCCAGCTCTGATGTTTGTATCTTGCATTATCAACAGGTATTTGCAATATGGAAGATGTCAGATATCTCAGGCTGCTCCAGCCCTTGTTGTGTATGTGACTAGTCTAGCCACCACAGACAGAAGTGGGGAGCAGTATCCTTACCTCACAGGCACCTAGAGGAGGGCTTTCCTCCTGTTCTTCCTCGCCCCCAACCCCACATGGGAGCAAGCTGTCACATACATCTCATTCTGACACTTAGGCAGCCATGGTTTAGATTCAGACTTGGACCTATAGAACTCCAGTGGAGCATAGATTAGCAAGAGTAATAGTTAATTGCCCCTTGGTATTCATATGGGATTGTTTCCAGGACCCTTGTGAATGCCAAAATCCATGGCTGCTTAAGGTGGTGTACTGTTTGTATAGAGGCTGCTCAATCCTCCTGTATATGACGTTGAGCCATTTCCAAATACTTATAATGCCTAATCCAGTGCAAATGCTAGGTAAATGGTTGTTAATAGAAAGTCTGTAAACATTTAGTAGGGGGCTGGAGAGATGGCTCAGTGGTTAAGAGCACTGACTGCTCTTGCAGAGGACCTCATATGGCAGCTGCAAGCTGTCCTTAACTCCAGTTCCAGGGAAATCTGAAGCCCTCTTCTGACCTCCGCAGCATTGCATGACATGGGTGCACTCACTTGCATGCAGGCAATATATTCATACACGTAAAATAAAAATAATAAATATTTAAAAATATTTAGTAGCGACAGGATTTTGTTTTGTTTTGTTTTTGGTCTTTGGTCTTTTTGAGACAGGTTCTCCTTGTAGCCATAGCTGGCCTGGAACTTACTTGCTATATAGACCAGGCTGGCCTTGACGTCACAGAGATCCATCTGCCTCTGCCTCCCGAGTTCTGAGACTAAAGGCATGTGCCACCACACCCAGCAAGATTGAAATTTTTTTTTGTCTTTTGAGAGAGGGTCTCCCTGTAGCCCCAGCTGTCCTGAAACTCACTAGGTAGACCAGGCTGCCCTCGAACTCACAAAGATCCACCTGCCTCTGCCTCCTAAGTGCTGGGATTAAAGGCATGTACCATCACGACCAGCTGAGAATGAACTTTTTTAAAAAATGTTTTATTATTTTTTTATTTTTAATGTATATTGCCTGCATGTAGGTAGGTACACCTGTATCATGCAATGCCCATGGAATTCAGAAGAGGGCATTAGATCCCCTAGAACTGGAGTTATGGGTAGTTGTTAGCTACCATGTGGGTGCTGGGAATTGAACCTGGGTCCTCGGCAAGAGCAGTCAATGCTTTTAACTTCGGAGCCATCTCATCAGCCCTGAAATTGAACTTTTGGATGTGAATCCTAGACATACTGTTCACCCAAGCAGCCATTTCCCTTGTATCAGACAAGCCCTTCATGTTTCTAGATCGCAAAGATGGGGAGGATGGGGTCTGCAGCTGGGCTGCCTGAGTTTACATCCCAGCCCTACCTCTTGCACATACCTGGGCAACAGCCTCAGTTCCTCATCTGAAAAAGTCACCCCTTCTAGGTAGGGTCGAGTGAGGTTGAGTCAAGATGCAGACAAATGTTTAGGGCAGTTTTTGCTTGTAGATGATGGGGTCCTGTTTTGTTTGCTTTTAAAGAATGTTTTTCTTTATGTGCATGAGTGTTTTGCCTGCATGCATGTCTGTGCACCACATACATGCAGTGTCCAGGGAGGACAAAAGAGGACATAAGATCCCCCTGGAACTGAAGTTACAGACCATCGTGAGCAGATGTGTGGATGTTGGGAGCCAAACCCAGCTGCTCTGCAAGAGTAGCAGGTGCTCTTAACTGTGAGCCATCTCTCCAGCCTTGTTTTTTTAAAGAAGGGACTGTCCTATTTGGGATAAAAGAATTTGAAACCAGATGAATGGTGGTGCCACCAACCAGCCAGGAGGATGTGGACTTGCTGGCTCTGGGGAGCCCAGTCATCTTGCTCTCTTCACAATGTCCAAATCAGGGCCTTTTTACTTACTGTTTCCTCAGCCTGGAATGGCCCCTACACCCATGCAAGATGGCCCACTCTCTCACCTCTGACATGGATTTTCATTTATTGCTTCTATCTTCCCCACCATAATGCTGGCAGTGCATAGGCAGAAGTCTGCTCAGTGCTGTAGCCCCAGGGGCTGCACTGTGCTGGGCACACTATGCTCATTGAACAGTTGAATAAGGGGTTGGTGTGGTTATTTCACCCATTCCCTCAGCTCAGTGTTGGGATCTGTGCCTCTCCACCAGCCATGAATCTATACAAGAGTCCAGTGAGTGTCAGTTATGTCAGATCCCTCTGACCCTCATGCTATCAGCTCTGATGATGTGTCCCTCCTCCCTGCCTCCTCACAGCTAGTACTGGGTCTTCCTCTCCAGAAACCTCCACATTAGGAGTTGCACCCTTCTAAATGTCATGGGCCTAAACCATGTCATATCCACATCATAGGAGTCATAATTAGCTATTCTAACTTTGTATGTTTGGGTCAGCTGCCTGACCTCTCTGAGTCTGGGGGGGAGGAGGATAAAGAGCTCTCAGGAAGTAAAAGGTCATGTGTGAGCGCCAAGGGACCCACCAGACCTGTCTCGACAGTATTTGTGTATAGAAGAGGTGAGGGAACCAGAGAGGCTCAGAGAGGTCTGGAGGGGTTCAGAGAAGAGGGGCTCATGGGCGGTTGTCAGGACAGCACGGCTCCGGGAGAGATGGGGGTCCGGATTACAGAGGGGCATGGCCCCAGAATTCAGTTGTGCAGACTGAAGGAGAACGGTGCCCTCTCAGACCCCTGGAAGATCTCCTGCCCTGCAGGTTCTGGGGCCTAGGCTCTGTGGAATGAAGCACAGGGCCAGGCAAGTTCTGTGTCTCTTTTAATCTCCTCCAGGCCGGTCCACCCCACCAGAGCTTCCCTCCCGCTCTAGGGGTGGAGGCCTAGGACCCCTCCCCCAGTCCATGGACTAAGGCACCAGGTGGCTGCTGCAGACCGGCCCAGACACAGACTCATAGAGGGGACACTGAAGGCAGACGCTGACAAGCGGGGTGGACACAGGCAGAGACAGGTGCGCCGCCGGCTCCCACGGCCTCTGGGTATCCGCGAACGGCTGTGGAGCGGGGATGAGCTACACCTGGGCTCGGCGCGGTCACTTCCCCCCTTTGCGGGATAGGCACCTGGGGAGGCAGGAGAAAGTCTGCTTGATGCGTGCCAGGAATGGCAGCGGCCGGTGGGTATCCCGTGGTGATACCAGACGCTGCAGCGTCCCTTCTGAGGACACTGAGTGCAGCGGGGCTGACGTGGACGAGGTCGCTGAACCCTGGCGACAGCGTTTGCAGAGAGGCAGAAGCGCGCGCAGGTCCTCCTCGTCGTGGAACGGGCTCTCTCCGAAGCGCTCCTCCAGCTGCCGGTGAAGCTGGAGTGGGGGTGTGGGGCGTGGGTCAAGGTCTACCCGCAGGCCGCAGTTGCCAGTCTGCCACTCCCATCCTCGCCCCAGCACTCTGCCTCGCTTCCAAGACTTCCCAACCCTCACGGTGTGCCCCTCCCCATCTCTGAGCCCCTAGTCTCTTAGTGAACCCCACTTACCGTTGACATCTTCTAGACGGTCCGCTGGGGACCGGTTTAACCAGTTTCCCTGAGCCTCTGTCCCCATTCCCAGACTCAAAGATTCTGCTCACCCAGGGCCTCTTTCTCAGTTGCCCCTGGCCTAGGGCAGTCTTGCAGGTCAGTGTTAGGGATGCTTGGTCAGACCATCTGCCAAGAGCTCCTGCTTCCTTTCACCCAGAGTCCCCCAAGTGACCCAACCTGGCATTTCCAAGTGCTGTCTACCCAGAAGGGCCAAGAGAAGGGACTGCTTTGGCCCCAGAAAGACCCAGGGAAGTAGGACACAGACAGTGTCAGACCCCAAAGTGGTCAAACCCTGGAACGCCTTGTGCTGCTGGGGACACCAGTCTGGTCTACAAGCAGCTGAATTCTAAGTTTAAAAGACAAAAACCAAACTAAACATCACCCCACCCCACCCCCAACCAAAACCCCAAAACCAAACAAACAAAAAAATCCAAAACCCAAAGTTAGGTGGCTAGCCTCTGCCTGTGATCTTAGTGCTTGGGAGGCTGAGGCAGGAGGGTTATGAGTTTGTGGCCAGCTGTGGGTTACAAAGTGAGAGCAGAGGGAGGGGAGAAAAGCAAAACAAGCAGGAGCTGGGCTGTCTCAAGATCCAAAGTCTCAAGAGCCCAGAATGTTTTCCAGCTGGGTCCAAAGCACTGGGTGGATCCTTTCCAATGGGTACTGAGATCAGGTAGGAGGTTTCCCCACACCCCTGGCCCCGGCCCTAGCCCTGTGCAGTCCCTACCTTCCGGGAGTTCCCCCAGCCAAACTCTTCCAGCTGCTGCCTAAAGCCTGGGTTGGGGTTGGCAATGGGCCGTGTGGCCTTGATAGCTTCAAGCACTTCCCGCCAGCCTAGCCCAGTCACCGTCATCACATAGGCCGTCACGATGGTAGTGCTTCGAGAGATGCCTGCAAAGCTGGATCCCCAACACCCCCAAGGCCTCAGACTAGTTCCAGTCCCTTCCAGACTCCCAGGGTCCCTTAACTAGACCCCCACC